GACAAAACATTGTCGAAACGTTGTACATTTGCTGTTGTGTTAAACTTATATTAAAGTTTTTCTTCATTACCCATTCAAGCTGTCTCCAAGCATTATTAGATTCTCTCTTACCACTCAACTCGTTTTGTTACATACAAGCAAGATGATCCAAAGTTAATCAATTAGTACTCAAGTGAAACCATAAATTTGGATTTACTATGATACGCAGATTTATTATGCTACCAAAACTGAATAGATATATTAGTTTACCTCTGGAATAACGACTATGATACTCACCAGGCGTGAGAAGAACGACGGATGTCACTATCAAGGAGCACACTGCTACGATAACGAGAAGAGCTATTCCAATACCTCGCCAGTTACGTTGGTCTTGTCCTGATGCCACAAGTTCCTACAAAATATTTGTTTAAAAGTATGAGTACAGCTGTTTTCACGCTAAATAAGCTTCTTTTTTTATGCTTACTGCTCAATTAATTGATAACCCGTTGGGAACAGGTCAACTTAAACTGTACCTTGGTTCATTTCAAGTAATTATCAAGAACAGGTCAGTGTAAAGCTGTACCTTGATTCACTTCAAGTGGCTATCGGGTACAGGTCAGCTTAAAACTGTATCTTGGTTCACTTCAAGTGACTAACGGGAACGAGCCAGCTTAAAGCAGTGCCTTGGTTCACTTCAAGTGACTATCGGGAACAGGTTAGCTTAAAGATGTGTCTTAATTAAGTTCAAGTGACTATCTGGAACAGGTCAGCTTAAATCTGTGTCATAGTTCACTTCAAAAGTTCGATTGTTTAAAATGTAAATTACATCTTAGGCGGATGTATTTGTTTTATACAAATGTGAAAGCTTCCATAGAAAACACTTTTATTCAAGCTCCTTATATTTTTAATCATACAAATCGGCTAGCTATTATTGATACACGGGACTCAAGTATATTATGATAGTGACAAAAGTAAGTAATTCCAGTTATAATGATTTTGTTTCTTCTAGAGGCAGAAAATATGATTTTTTTCTAATACAGAGTTGCGTACAACCAAGACTTATTTATATGTGATATAAGAGCAATGAACTGCAAATTATTTCAGAACACAAATTTAGTAACCTTAAAGGCCCCCCAGTGGCACAGCGGTATGTCTGCGGACTTACAACGCTAGAATCCGGGTTTCGATACTCGTGGTGGGCAGAGCACAGATAGCCCATTGTGTAGCTTTGTGCTTAAATACAAACAAACAAACAAGTAACCTTAAAGTGTAGACAATGTGACGGATTTGTTATTATATATTTATTTTAATATCAACGTTTGTTTAGATTAAATTTATAACTAGAAACTTGCATAGCTTATACTGTTAAATATGTATTACGAAACTCCCGCCTATTCTCCACAGTTGTAGAAGACTCTCGAGAGTAAGAATCAACAATATATGTATGTACGTAAACGCTTAAATGTAACTTTGTATTGTTACGTATTTCAATTTTCTAGAAAGCCTCCACACTCCTATAAATATAACAAACGCGACACGCCAAAAAGGAATATCTATTATTAGTTTGATATAGTCAGTATGCTATAAACTTCTGAAGCTATAACTGTCATTGTTATAACGCTTATCAATCGGAAAACGTAAGATATTTGACCAGGAGCATTTACAAAGTTCGAACATTACAAGTCATTTAACTTCATTGGATTCTCATCAGACATTAGTATTTTTACGAAAACATTACCTAACGTCACCTGTGAAAAAA